TTCGACCCTGAATATGGAAGTGATATATTCCTCCGAAACGTTTCTTCCGATATGTTCAGCGGACTACACGGCGTTACATCCCAGATGAAAGAACTCTTCATAGTCAGCGCTGAGAAAGCCTCAAATCCAGCATAATCTTAATATTCCTGGCTGTCGCATAAACAAGGGTGTATATTTCTTTGTTGTGGAACTTGATGAAACTGTCTCGGCTGCTATGTGACGACAGAGGTGACTTCTCCGGTAGAAGACAACTCGATCCATCAGAAAATGTCTTGTTTCTGACATGCCCGTTTCTACTAGTTTCTTCTTTGCTCAGTCAATGCAATATGCCTCAATTCCGCCTTATCTCTTAAGGTCATTTCTCATCTTTCAACTGAATTCACTTATTTCGGCTTTACACTACACATACTCATGCATACCGAGCACAATGGCTCAGTCGGTAATGCTTCTCGCTTTATTAAGTAGAGCTTTGCTAAGCAATGGCTTGATAAAAAATCACGACAATAGAGAGACTGTTTTCTGTGGGGTCCACGTCGGGACCGTTGTTATGCAATGATTCGGTAAACAGGTTCAAACAAGAGAAGATGTGTTTTCCGTGTGGTCCGTGCAAAGGAGTTTTCTTAAAAATAAACGGCCCTACGGTTCAGTTCTGAAGTCTGAGTTCTAGGTAGGAGACAGTCAAGGATTCTTCGTCGACCGGCGAGGATTTAACGTGTGGTTTGAAGACTTTATGTGTGTTGTAGTGCAGTGATATTAGGAGTGTGTGATTTAGGAAGACTTTATAGGTCCTGTGTTATAAATGCGAGAAGACTAATGGAGATAGACTGGAGAGATTAGAGTGGAATGCTTTGTAGTGCGAAAATCAATAATAGTGTACTATTGTATTAAGTATTTGTAGTTACGACCTGTAGGTTGTTAATAAATCAAATTACCAATCCAAACCCACGTCTGAGTCACCTAAACACGTGACAATATCAAGTATCCTGACTGAGGTTTTTCGTTGTTTCCTTCCAGAAAATTTGAAGTGTGGAATTTTAACTCAGGCCACGACCACTTCTTTCAGATTCAGTGTTCACAAATCACCTAATCATTCGACGATGTAGTTTTGTTTAACGGTGCTCTCAATCTTGAGACAATTTAGCGTCAATTGGTAGAAGAGAAAATTGGCAGAAGCAGAAAACTCTCCACAGTTTCGTTCTGTTCAGCATCTGGCATCGAACCCGTGCTGTATCTGTGGAAAGCCAGCAACTAAGTCCTATAGTCGGAGTTACTGACTGTTAACATCCTACGCCCTAAGTTCCACTTGTGGTTTTGTCAAAATAAGAAAATCAGTAGTTCCGGCTTAACATAAAGGAATCTTCTCTGTTTCCGATAAGTTTATTTTTACGGTGACGTACGTTTTAGGGTTGTAATAATCATTAACAGAAGCTCGTAAGTACTTAGGAATTTTAAACATCTGTTTATAAACTTTTATTGCTATAATTATATAAACAACGTAGTAATGTTAGAAGAAGTGAGACTTCAGTGCAGCCTTAATGAGAAGTTTGTCCTTACAATGCAGGAAAGTTGTTCTCTGACTGAAACAATTATGATGTTCGAAACGTCACGTCTCACCCAATTGACTCAGTCTCACCGGTTGAGGAGCGTTGATCTTAGTTACTTTCCGCGTCATCAAGTACATTGCAAACAAATAGAATATGTAAAATACGTATATATAACACGACTGAGGAGTCGGGGTTTGATTCCCGTCAGAGATAAGAGATTTTCCCCTTATCCGTATCGTACAGATCGGTGCTGGGGTTCACAATGGGTAGCGGGGGCTGCTCCCCTAGGGTAAAACGGCAGGGATGTGAGACTCACCTCCATAAGTGTATATATATTATATATATTACGAATGGTGGAGCTATACCTGTATTACCTCATACGTTTCCATGGCTTAGCGAATAATTTATTAAACCCAGGAATAGTTTTACCTTTATCTTATACATGCATAACAGCCTGCCGATGGATTTATGACGCGCAGTTTTGTAAGAAATATAACAATTTGCATTAGTTCGGGGGCCGGGAATGAATTTGCTTCTTTTCCAAGGACGAATTTCTGTGTGCTACTGGTTAATGCACTCCCATTGGAATACAAACTGAACTCATTCAAGAGGTCAGCCTACCCTGATCAGCTGGAAAGCTGTGCTAGCGGGAGCGTAAGGTCCTGGTATGGTCACATATACTAGATATAAAATAATAAGCTCATGCCTTACTAAGGTGCTTAGTCGCCGGGTTCCTGCCAGAGTAACCCGGATCCCAGGTCAGAGCTTGTGGGATCTATGGTGAAGGTTCATTTCTATGTTCACATGGGCCCCCTACTGATCACTATCCTCAGCCAGATCAATCCAGTCCATATCACTCCATCATATTTCTCTAAGATCAATTTTAATATTAATCTCCTTCCTGCGCGTAGGTATATCTATCTATCTATCTATCTATCTATCTATCTATCTATCTATCTATCTATCTATCTATCTATCTATCTATCTATCTATCTGTGTATGACTCTACAGCCGTTGTGGAACTTAGCAGTTTTTCAGTTTCTTAATCTATGCACAGAAATTAGGACCCCTTGGACGGGGATCAGTCAATCGAAAGGCCCATGTTTTTTTTTTGTTGTATTAAGTGGGTCCCTTGTCATCATGGTATGGTGCATCCTCAGGTTGCGCATGGAGGAGATGGCCTTCAGGTACGGAGGGTGGCTGCAGGGGTTGTCGTTGACAGCCGACAATAGGTGCTCCTCTACCTTGGATGTTGAGTTTAGGACTAACTTCTCACCTTAAGGAATAATGTTGTTACGAAATGTCAGTCGATCACGGAGGCCACGCGGTCTAAGGCATGAACCGTCTTCGCTTCCTCGAACGCTGATACCATAGGTTCGAATCCCACTTGAGGCATGGATGTCTATGTGCGTCTATTCTGTGTTCATGCTGTTCTGTGTGCAGGTAGCGATTTGTGTTATAGAACTTGAAGATGGATAATTGAAATGGGAAGATGTGAAGATTCTGAGAGGGCTACAGAGCCCAAGAGTAAGTAAGTAGCAAGAAGACAATAATAGAACGTACTCAGACTTTGCGATTTAGCCCTCTGAAAATTCAACGAAAGCAGCTAACAGCGCGAAGAAAGTCCCGTGTCTGCTACCGCTCTTTATATTAGCATTTACGTTTTGTGCACCCGGCCGAATGTAATGCGATTGCCTAACCGCCATGGAGTTCCGCCATCTGTAACTTGAAAAACTGGCTAAGTGCTTATGATTATAGTGACGACAATAGCGCTTAAATACATATATCGGCAATATTCGTGTCGAATTTGACCACATAGCCCATAGAATTAGAGCCTAAAAATTAAATCGAAATACTTTCTTAAAAGCACGTGTTGACAACCTAGGAGAATAAACAACATATGGTGTCCGTTAATGATAATAATATGAAATTTTCTCAATTGAATATTTGAAAACGTAATACTTATTATTAGGTACGTCCTGCAAGATGATTTCTCTGCAATAACCATAATGCAATATAATAGTGCTATTATAAACTATTCAATTTATGTTACTTATTTCACAAATTACGTACAATTTGCTCTCATTGTTGTGGGAATTTGAACAAAGAAAACATTAATGATTTTCCATCGACGAGAAAAATAGTATCCACACTTCGAACCCAGATAACCAGAGGCAAAGGGGATCACTTCAAACGCGTCCTGCATCTAAGAGAACACGCGTGTTCTCGTTCCCTGTCGCTTATAGTAATGATTATGGCAGTACGTACATGTGTGTATGTGTGTAAACCTCATATACACCCTTCTTAGATCTTGCCTCTGAATTGAGCGTGAGGAGAAATCTGCCAATAATTGGCAGGGCAGTGTTTGCAGCTGCATTACATGAAGGAGCCTGTGTTGTTACCCATACAGTCCCTACAATCCCCCTCAGTTAGTGGACTCGACCAAGTCCACTGCGCATTTCGCTGAGAGCGGACAGGTCTAAACATCCGAGCAGTATGTGTGTGTATGTGTATGTGTATGTGTATATAGCCTATATTTATATATATGGTCGTGTTGGTTTACATAGGTCTAGCATTATTACTGAATTATCTACCCAACTAGCCATTATCACTTCTTATCCAAAAAGCACTGGTATAAATTCAATATTGTGTGTTTTTTTTAATAGACCTAATATCCAAGTCAAATATTGTGCTTTTCGTTGAAGCCATCTGTGAAAAATGTACAGTGTCAATACACATCTAAAATAACATGTCCTCTTCGTGTTGCTGTTTGCTGGTTTGCGATTTGAGTGTCGTGTCATTTACATTTATTTGTATAAACAAAATGAAATACCAATGCTTCATTCGGCATTTCCTCCTCCCTCCATCTACCTTCCCCTGCCCTTCTACCTTCCCTCCCTCTACCTTCCCCTCCCCCCGAAATATTATTTAGTATACATATGAAAAGGAATCGTAATTTTAAAGTGTCTATGATGAGCTGACTTTTATTATATTGCGCCAATGGCGGCGTTATTTGTGTAAACGCTGTCTGTAGACAGGAATTAACAGATGTTCCTCTCTGAATATAAACGGGCAATCATTAATATTTATTCGGATGTTCTGATCCACGTATTCTCGTTGCGTCTCCTTGTTCGGATGAGACTTTAATGTTAGCATTTTGCTCCTTTGAACTTAAAATCTTACAACTGAGTAATTATTTAATCAAGCCAGAAAATAAAACGTTCCACTTATCCTTACATCTGATATATTTAATCGGTCAATTAATTTCGTCTTCGATCCATTCAACTTATACATTAAGCAAACTACTTCTTTTTAGCTAACAGATAAAGACGTGCAGCTGACATATCTATTTTACACACATAAACCTTTGCTCTCATTTCCGTTTATAATGCTTTGTTTATTCCATTCTTTCAGTTGCTCCATTAATGAAGTTTTGTTTTTCTCTTTTTATCGTAGGAAGAAGTAAGTAACTGCCATCTGCCGCCTCGCCAAGCAACTATAATTGTGATCCGCTCAACACAAACAGTGAGACCAAAAACAAAATTAATAACAGTCAGGAGTTGAAAGGATATTTTCTTGCATTTCATTTCATAGTTTGTTTCTTTTTACAGTTCTGCCTTTGTTATTATTAAAAGGAAGTTTAAATTTATATTTCTTATATTTTCAAAATTAATGTTTCGATTGTAACGCAGTGCATGTGATTCAGCGAGTCGAAATCAAAGAGAGAGACCCTTTTATTTTCAAAACTGTAGGGTGTTTCGTTTTCTGAGTGTAAGCGAAACAAATAGAACGTACATGTATGTTTATCACAGGTCTGTATAACCTTACAAAAACAAGGAAATTGTACTCAGTAGCTAATGATTATGTAGATCAGATATTAAACAGATTAATTAGAATATAATATTTACGGAGGTCTACAAGAAGAAATTCTGAGTAAGTGTGTTATGTTAGGCCGCGACATAGCTGAAGCGGTTAGTCGCTGGCTTCCCATCGCGGCAGCCCGGGTTCGATCCCGGTTCTGGTCAAGTGGGATTTGTGGTGGACAAAGTGGCGCTGGGACGGGTTTTCTCTGAGTACTTCGGTTTCCTCTGCCAATCTTCATTCCACCAAATTCTCCATAATCACCCGGGTCAGGGACAATAGGCCAATCAGTGGCCGCCGTACCGAGGGGACCCAGTTGGACTCCACCCACATTAAACGAAAAAGTGTGTTATATTTGTCGACCTCTGACTCAAATGTCGCGTGTTCAGTCCATGTTTTGAGGAATCGAGCTGATTGTAGCAGAAGCACAAATTTTCCGACTTCAGCTTATCCAAGAATACGCTCTTTGTTGGATATGAGGTCCTCACAGGCGTGACTACGAGGAGTATTCTATTTCAGGATGTGATGCCTTATAGTCCGGTAGAAATTCAGAGGACTTTTCTCAGGAATATACTGCTTCCAACTTCGCTAGGCTAGCGATCCTCAAGACAGGCAGCAAGAAGTGTGATCAGCAGGTAGGAAATCTGGTTCAGATGCAGGCCTGTAACTAGCTCCCTCTGGTCTCCTGTGCGGGCCAATGTGTGAATGTTTTCAAGGCACGGCTCTCGCTGCGGTTGCTGCATACAAATTTCCGGTTGCTTCCATGCCCCTGAAGATAGAGGAAGTTTCTTCGGAACTTCCGTGAATTTCTACTGGACTACACGGCGTCAAGTCCAAGAAGATACTATTCTTCAAAGCACTTCTACTTAACCTTTTAAAGACTGTCAAAGTGTTATATTACGATCGACGGTCAGTCGGCCAGTCTGTCTTGTTGTCAAAGCCCCATATAGGGCCCATAACTGGATTTCTGTTACTGTCAGACAGCTGCGGGTTTGAAAAAAGTCGTCTTCTGGGTTTTGGCGCCGTGTATTCTTCGTTTTGGCTGACGTTTCGGAGGAACGTATCGCCTCCATCTTCAGAGCAGGCGAATGTCTTGTGAATGCAGAGACCTCTCTGCATTCATAAGACATTCACCTGCTCTGAAGATGGAGGCGATACGTTCCTCCGAAACGTCAGCCAAAACGAAGAATACACGGCGCCAAAACCCAGAAGACGACTTTCTTCATAGTCATCGCCGTGAAAACCTCAAAACTTACACAGCTGCGGGTTTGTTGATATTTAGCGCCCTCTCTGATGAGAGGTTGGGCCTGTCGTGTACAGTTGCTTCTGGTCCTCGCCAGCGCAGTTATTACCGGACTCGAGTCCAGCGGGACTCATGAGTGTATTTTACTCCCTCAGATTTGAGACTCCCCCAACCTGTAGGACCACGTCCCCGTATTTATGTTCCCCAGGATCAGGGTGGCCCTGTTATACCCCCAGGCATTGGTTCCCTTATCATCGCGTCCTACGACTTCCAGGGTTGCGGTGAAGGTATTCGAACCCGACTCCACACGGGCTTTAAAGAATAAATTTCGTCTAAATAATACATGAAGATTCAGTTCGTACCTCACAGGAAACACATTACGTCTCCGCTACAAAGTCCAACCGATTAGTGCTGTTTCGGGAAAGGGTCGCAGTTTATTGTGAGGCCCATACGGAACACATAAATACAGTGTGTGGGCAGAGTCTTAGTGTGCTAAAGTAGGTTGCATATAGGGCTTTAAGGTTAACCTCCCCTGGACATTTCGAAACACAATCAGATCTACAGCAAGTCAGATCCCGAAAACAGCAAACATCTGAGATATAAGTATCTCTGAGGCTTGTTCAATGGTGGAGCCTTATCCGTTAAAATATGCCACTTGAAAAGATTTCGCAATTTTGCTCGAGCCAACATGACAAAAGAATAGGACAGAATTTCAAAAGAGGCCTGCTACATAATCTATTTATAAATAAAAAAACTACAGCAAGAGAGCGGTAAAATATCGGTTTCAAGATTATAGAGACATTCGTCAGATATGGATATTAGCACCACTGGTCAAGAAATTCGCAGCACTTTATGAAAGCTGAAGTTTCCGCATGATGTTCAAATGAACAGGCCATTCAACCATACACTAATGCAGTCACTGTCCCCTTAATGTCCAACTTTGACTTGCCCCTCTCCACCTTCGCCTGTGTCTGTTCACTTCTTATTGTTCAACTAAAAATATTTGCATTTTCCATCTGTACCCTGCGAGCTACCATGTCCCAAAATTTTATGATCCTTGATTTGGCCATTCTAATAATAGCTGGTAAAAGTGTATTCTTTTTTTCGCTTAGTGGGGGTTGAAGTCCAACTGGGTTCATTCGGCACGGCGGCCTCTGATTGGCCTATTGTAACCTGCCCCGGGTGATTATGATGATGGAGAATTTGGCGGAATAAAGATTGGCAGGGGAAACCGAAGTACTCGGAGAAAACCCGCCCCAGCGTCACTTTGTCCACCACAAATCCCATTTGACCAGACCCGGGATCGAACCCGGATCGCCGCGGTGGGAAGCCAGCGACTAATCACTTGAGCTACGGCACGGCCTAATAGTAAAATTGTAAGTCATGAAGCTCCTCCTCAAGAAATTGTCTCCATTCTCTAGCTACTTCCTCTCTCTTAGATCCAAATATCCTCTCCAATTAGTCTATTCTAAAAACGTCCATAACCTGCTCTTCTCTTTGTGTGTGAGCGATCACACGTTTCCAGATTCTCCTCTGAGAACGAACGGAGACATAACGAAACGTACAGTATAATACTCCGGGAGATGTGCAACTTTTAACAGATTTATTCTTATGCAACAGTTGTTTTCCATTGTACGTACCGTCGCGTTCTGGCCGAAGAAACACTCTGACGTGTTTCATACCCACATAAACAACAAACAAAATCATACCTTTGCATTCCAATTTCTTAAGTTTTAATTGCTTTAGACACGAGACTGGAAGATGATAGACTGTGAAATAAACAGTCGCAAATATTCTCTAAAAATATTTTTTTCTTACTTCGTTCGTGAATATAATTTCAAGTTATTACATATATTTTCTTTCCAAAATATTTGGAAATGTCCACATTCTCAAAGAACTTCAAATCGTTCATAGAGGGGTACAACATGGCTTAATCATATCCACCTCTCACCTAGAGTGTATACGGGAAGATAATATTGTTTCGTATCGACACGTTGCTAGTAAGCCCAGCAACATACACGCAAGTAACAACAGAACAACGGGATTATGCAACCTGTTTCTAAGCAACGGCTCGGTAAGCACGCTCCGGCGGAAAAGAACACGCACGCAACAATAGAAAAACAAAGTTTTCGATGTGGTCCGCGCCGACGATTTAACTTGAAGACAATTAAGAGGGCGCTACTTAAGGACTATGACCTCAAGGGTTCAGTTGGCAAAAATAAAATCTGTGGTCTTGATCCTCAAGAGACTTGACGCCAAGACGTACTGAGTGGCGGTAAACCGTCGCTCGTAAAGTAACATTTACTTTCACTTTGACCAGTTCAGTTGGGGGATATTCGCTGGACAATAACATCGTGAGCACAGAAGCTTGAAAATATTCATTGTTAAAATCCATTACCAGGATACGACTACTGTGCTGTAGTGAGAAGACGAGTGTGTGAATTAGCGGGAGAGCTTTACAATCACTTGCAGTCACGATTTATAAAAGTTCAATAAATCCTGTTATCAATCCAAACCCCTCCTATAGTCATTCACATACGTGATAATATTAAAATTAATCTCAAATACATTTTATTTGGAGGTGTGGACTAGATACTTATTGCTTAGAGTAGAATCCAGTGCCAAGTTCTTAACACGGAAATAATACTTCAGTTTCCATATAAGACGGGGAATTTCTTGAGTAGCTGAGCGACTTTTAGTCTCTCAGAAAAAGTTCTCTTTGAAGGAGTTAAGTAACTGTTCCGGCCAAACATAACCTTCTTGGATTTACTATTCCAGAATCAATTAGTGAACACTCTTATTTGAAGTGGCAGTGTTAGGCGATTCATTATATCAGATTGTTCATACCTTGTTTCCTCGCTTCTGATACTCAAGAAGATACGAAACAAGAGATTTTCCCGAGCCAAACAAGTGTCAGCATTGCCCTCTGGTGCCAAGATCCAGAGACGCTTCAAATTAATGACTTAAGAACAAACAACGGGTAGTAGGAAGAGGGAAGGGGTGAAAGGCAGCCAGGGGGTCAAGAAGGAAAGCAGAGGGCGCCAAACGGCAAACGTTGCCGGTGGTGAAGGGTAGAGAGTTCTTGGGTATTCGGGAGAAGGAAACGTTGCATCATTTATCACCTCCTTGAGCTTCCTCTTGCTTAATTATCTCTTCCACTTAAGAGGTTCCAAGAGAAAACCTTCTCTATCTCTCTCAGTTGAAGCCATTACGAGAATGTGCCTTCCAAATTATTTCACTTTACAACGCATCACCGCTAGCAAAGTAACTATGGAGTTAGCTAAGGGCTAATATTCAAGAGCAGTTAGTTCAGTAGACATGACTTCTCTTGGACTGAGGACCATACGAAATTGTTCGG